TTGAGAGATTCCCATCGACACGATGAGCGAAATCGAATGAACCTACGCCTGTATCGTTCAATCCACGCGTGGAGCGTGATTGAGAGATTTCCATTGATTGAATGGATAACGAAAACGAAAACGGAACTGTAACTCTTTTTTTTTTTTTCCACTTCAATCAGAGTTGTCCATCCAATCAAAGAATGTCCGATCCGATTGCTGGATCGTTCAATCAATCAATCGGTTGGCTGAGAACGCGCCTCGGTTTTGCTTATCCTGCCATTTCGACGCTCGAAGAGAAGGGAAGCACTTGCCTGCGATGAAATGAACAGCAGTCGACCGATTGCTGGTGATCATTGCGCAGGCAAGTCATTCCAATCTCCTGAAACTTGGCAATGTCAGTCTGTGTTTGTGTGCAGATTGATCAAAATTGGAACGAGTTCTCAGCCAGCACATGACAATATATTGGCAAGACGGCACGTCCATCGACACGATGAGCGAAATCGGAAGAATGGACTGCTGGTACATGGTTGATTTGATTGAGTGAATGATTTCCATCGATACGATTTGATTGACTGAAAGACGAAACCAACAATGAAGAATGGAGTGAAACTATCTTCATCTTTTCTTTTCTGATCGTTCCATCAACGGATGTCCAATCCGCCGCCCACTCCCGCTACACATCCGCCCTGCAGTCGATCAATCGTTAGAAACTGAATAGTGCACAATCGGAACGATTGTTTTGTGGCCGACGGGGACTCGATCTGATCGCTGGTTGAACGAAGATCTTGCAGCGGTCAGTTGATCCTCGTCCGCCATCGAACCTTTGTCGGCCATCGAACCTCGTCGACCGTCTAACCTCGTCGGCCATCGAACCTCGTCGACCGTCTAACCTCGTCGGCCATCGAACCCTGATATGGATTTGATAGAAATCCCACCACCCGACGAAGTCCGGATCCCGGCGAACTTCCCATTCCCATCGGAGCTTCGGACGTCGGCCACGTAGAATACCGTGAAACCGCCTTCTCGCCGGGCCACCTTTGAGACTGTGGTCGTCCTTGTGCGCCATGATTCCAGAAACCACGCAGGGACGGATATTGGCGCAAACGTCAGGTGCGGATCTAGGCGAACTTCGCATTTCCGTAAGATTCAGGTTCTTACTTTGGTGTTTCCGGCGGCCCGTTAATTGCATCAAGGACACAAGTTCGGATGCCAGCGGACTACCAATTATCGACCTTTTTCCAACGAGACTTCGGTTTCCCTCCTGGGCAGTGGAATTAAGCAATCGCTTCGCGTTGCTACGAACGTGCTGTGGCGGTGAGCTCTCTATCTCCCAGTCTCTCGCACCTTCTCAAAGTTCGGATCCCGCCGAACTTCGCTTTCCTACAAACACTTCGGTTTGACCGT